TTATTCAGACTTCCCCTGGATAACTGAAGTCTGTTTGTGTTTTAGGGATACCACTGCACATTTAGTTGCTGTGCCCTTAGACTGCCTTTGGCTGTGACAGTTTCTCAACTGTTTTCCTTTTGGTGATCTTGACGGTTTTGAAGAATTCTGTCAGCTTTTTAAGATTCATTTGTTTTTATTGTTATGTGCATGAGTGGCTGCCTGTATGTATATATGTGCACCATGTGTGAACAGTGCCTGAGAAGCCAGAGAGGGCTTTGGATTCCTTGGAACTGGAGTTACAGGTGGTTGTGAGCCAACATGTGGGTGCTGGGAAGCAAACCCAGAGATTTTGCAAGAGTAGCAAGTGTTCTTTATTGCTGAGCCCTCTCTCTCCCTCCCTCTCTCCCTCCCTCCCTCCCTCCCTCCCTCCCTCCCTCCCTCCCTCCCTCTCTCTCTCTCTGTCTCTCTCTGTCTCTGTCTCTCTGTCTCTCTCTCCAGCAGGGTCAGATTATTTTATAAGATGCCCTTCCTATAATTGTTGTCTGAATCCACCCCCCCCCATTATTTTGGGACTATGGGTTTGGGGAAGAAAACCCCAGAAGTGAAGACTGATCATATGAACACTATTTACTGGCAACATGACTTGTCACTGAAGTCAGACCACAGAGTAAAGTGGTTTCTACGTCCGAGTGTTCAATGCTGACCAGCATTCAGCATCGAACTAAAACAAGAGTGCTTTTCCACAGAGAATGCAGGGGCTTTACTCCAAATGCTGAGTTTGTATCGTGATTCACCTCAATGTGCCTGCCAAAGATCAAACAGTATCTAAATCTGCCAGGACCACGTCAGGCACAACTGGATTTGCTAGATCATATGACTCAAGTGGCACAGTGACTTGCTTACTAGTCTAGACCTGCTGAAGAGTCTTCTCTTCTCCCACTGGGCACAAAGCCTGCCCTCTCTGTGCCCTACTTTCTGTAGAAAGGGCCAGATGTAACTATCTATCTTTCATCTTAGAAGTTACATCCTGACATCCACATTTCGGCTCCCTTCCCCCTAAAATTTCACTGAAATAGAATTTGGGAGACACTCCATACCCTTGATGTTGAAACATTACCAATAGGTCCAGAGTGGTTGCTACTAGCAAGAACAGGAGAAAGAAGCCGGTCAGGCAGTGTAGGGAGGGGTCCTGAAAAAGGGCAACTCAGCTTCTTGTCCTTGGCAAACAGTTTAGTCTTGGTCAGAAGCTGGGACTGTTAACAGTAGTTCTGTCCTGGCTGGAGGCCAGACATGCCAAAACCATTCAGGGGTCTTAGCTCACGTTCTAGTCTCTTGATCCTTTTTTACCCCTTGTATATAATAAAGTGGTTCACTTTGTCACGTCAATATGATCTAGTACCACCTGGTAAAAGAGTCTCATGGGAGCTGTCTAGGTTAGGCTGGTCTATAAGAAAGTATGGGCCAATAGTCTTAATTATGCTAAATTATGGGGAAAGGTATGCCTAAACGTAGGCAACACCATTGCTTAAGTTTGGATTCTGAATTACATGAAACATGATACGGTAACCTGAGCACAGATAAGTCCACATTGATTCTTTCTCTACCCTTAACTGAGGAAGAGACTAGCTGTTTTGGGTTCCTGCTGCCTAGACCACCCTACAGTGATAGACTGTAATCCCAGAATTTTGGTCCAAAATAAACCTGTCCCTCCAAGTTTGTTTTCCACCCCCACACCCAGCAATAGTGAATACAACTAAGAGGAATAGTTACCCAAGGAGCAAGATCCTGGGAGGCTATTTGTCCTGAAGGTGTGCCCAAAACTCCAGTCCACCCACCAGATGGAGAAGCACACAAACAAGTCGTGGGTAGGCCAATTGCCCTGATCAGCTGATCTTCCCATACTTCACCGTAGTAAAGCCTTACTAAGAAAGGCCTTGGTGGCAACCTTTCTTATGATTTTCCTCCTGCTACACACACACACACACACACACACACACACACACACACACACACACACTTCACTCCTTTCCAATCGCATCATTGAATTCATTCTTCAAGTTTTCTAGAAACTCCTTGGTTTTGGTGCCTGTTGGTTTTCCAGGATTTTAGCCTAAATTACAACCGAGAACCCAAGAGCTAATTTGGTTCCTTTGGGGGCAATAAAGCTTATTTCTGGTCATGCTGGTTGGAAGTAAAACTCCTTCCGATTTTCTTTTCAACAGGTATGGGGGAGGGAGGGAAGCATTTCCTAAATTCATAGTTAGCAAATTATTGATAGACATATAAATGGAATTGACATACAGTTGTGTTTATTGTCCAGGCTCCACCTGTGGTCTGTAGATGATCACTATTGGAGCAGACAGGGATATGGTAGGTAGTATCACTGTCACAAATTTCAAATCTTTGACAGGGAACTAACCTTTGCAATCCTTCCAAGAGTGGTATTGTTTTTAAGTTACTTATTGCCTGAACAGAATTTCCTAGATTGTCCAGCTCTTTTTTAAGCCTTTGGATACTTCCTAGGGTACATCCATGTTGGATAGTTTCTAGGGTACATCCATGTTGGATACTTCTGATGGTACATCTATGTTGGATACTTCCTATGGTATATCCATATTGGACACGTCCTAAGATACATCCATGTTGGACAGCTCCTAGGGTACATCCATGTTGGATACTTACTTCCTAGGGTACATCCATGTTGGATACTTACTTCCTAGGGTACATCCATGTTGGATACTTACTTCCTAGGGTACACCCATGTTGGATACTTACTTCCTAGGGTACATCCATGTTGGATACTTACTTCCTAGGGTACATCCATGTTGGATACTTCCTAGGGTACATCCATGTTGGATACTTCCTAGGGTACATCCATGTTGGATACTTCCTAGGGTGCATCCATGTTGTCTTCATACTTCTACTTCATGCAGTGTGGGCACTTCTGGGTGGATGGAGTTTTACTTGGGTCTGTCTCACAGTAGACCCCCAAACCTACCTTGTGGTTATTTTCCAAGTTTAACATGCCAGAAAATGATCTACTCTGTGTTTTGAAATAAAATATTGAATCCAGGATCTTTACCTGTTAGACTCATTGCAAACATAGTTAGTGTGGTAGAATTTTAGATATTTCCATCTTGAGCCTTGTATTAATTTCCTGGTATTGTTGTAACAAAATATAACAAACCAGAGGGTGAACAACAGAAAGTTAAAGCTTCGGGAGCTCAAAGTGTGATATGAGATTGCTGGCAGGGCTAGGCTTTATCCGAAGAGTCTCTGGATAACCTTTTTTTGCTTTATCTTAGCGTCTGGTAACTTCCATCATTCCTTAGGTTATAGCCGCAACCCTTCCATCTCTGTCTTCTTCCTCACATGGCCTAATCCCCCTGCTGTGTAGTCTGTGTAGCCTCTCCTCTCAAAATACCAATCATTAGTTTTACAGGACATCCTAATCCAACATGACATCACCTTACTAATTTCATAGACAGATTCTTTCCCAGTTGTCAGATTGTGAAGTTCCAGACGGACATGAACTGGGTGACGACCTACTACAATCCTACCTCCTTAAAATCTACAGCCAGATTGCTTACCATTTTATGCTTTGCATTTTCAGCACGTGTATTTCTTACCTTTTAAAGAAAAAAAAAGTAAAAGGAAATGAACACCTCCGAGTGATTTGCTTCAAAAGACAAACATTCTTTCTATAGTTTACCCTCTTATGTTTACCTCCCAGGTGTCTTTACAAAGAACACAGCTCTCACCTGAAAGTGAGTAAGATAGTTTACTCCTGTGCCAAAAAAATATGAGGCACAATGGTCCAGGAACACAGCCTTGGCTTATCCCCCAAATGTTCCAGCAAATAGCTTTTATATAAATATACAGAATGAATCAAACATTAAGTCGAAGGTATTTCTAAAACGCATCAGGTAGATGGGAGAAATGTTTGTTATAGGTCTCAGGTGTGATCTGATGTCATTCTGGGCTTAAGAGTCTGTAGATACCAAGGATTTACCTAATAGCCGCAATGAGGCTGGCAATAAACGGCCGTTAAGGAGAGCTGAAGATAGCCCAAGACAGTGCAGCTTGCTCCTAATCTCTCCATAATCAAGGAAGTTTTAGTCAGCCATGTGGGATGTTTAACACTAGTGTGCTCTCTTCACCCCGAATATCAGTTTAGTCCTATTTAATATTTAACTGCAGGCAAAAGTGATCTTTCATAAATAGTCTCATAATGGGAACTCAACCGAGACCAAGTTCAAGCTTATCAATCTAACTTGGCCTTTTATGATCTGACTTCCAATAACCGTTCCATAAAATCCACCACTACCTATCGGTTCTGTCCCTGAACCTCTTCCAGGCTTCCGAAATGTCCCTGACACGCTATTGCTCCATACTTGGGTTCTGTCTCCAGGCTGGAGCTATGCCTACAAACTCACCCACTCTCCTTGGCTTCTGCGCCTCCACTCTCAGATCGTGTAAGTTTGTTAATGTCAGCCCTTTGCTCTTATTCTTAAATGAAATCTATCATATGAAACAATATAATTCAAGATGACACAGGGTGCTGTGCTTGCTCAGCTACGACGACCCCCATAGCCGAGGCCAAGGCCACGTGGGCTCCGCAGACCGCGCTGGCACTGAGGAACTGGTGCCAGCCGGACTTCTAGGGGACCGAGGGTGATGTTCTGAACTGAGGGAAGTACTACTCGGCATCCTAACTCGTTGCAACCCTTCACTCCCAGGATCCAACTCCACACAGCCGGTCCCAGGGCCCTGTCCAACCTCCAATATCCCCCAACAGCGGCCTCTGATCGTGAGGAGACGCCCAGGCAAGCAGAACCCGGACATGCGCGGTGGGCACTTGACGCGGGCCACTCCGGGCTCCGCGGCTCAGTCCGCTCTGCGCAGGCGTACGCCCTCGTTTCCAGCCCCGCCCGACTCAGGTCCCCTAGCCTCTCGCCACGCCCCTCACCGCAGGTCAAAGGTCGCGGGGCGGGCCACAGTGACGCTTGCGGAAGCGCTGTGCGGACCTCGCGAGGTGCGGGACAGCGCAGCCACGGCTCCAGACGGCGGGACGGCAGGGCCCGGCGTGGCCGCCGATGAGTCGGGGAACCATGCCCCAGCCCGGAGCGTGGCCCGGAGCGAGCTGCGCTGAGACGCCCGGGCGCGAGGCAGGGGCCACGGCGCGGGACGGCGGGAAGGTGACGACCGGCTCGCAGCCCCGGGCCGCGACGCGATGCCCGGCCGAGCAGTGAGTAAGCGGGTCGGGCGTGGGAGCGGGCGCGGGGCTGCGTGGGCTCCCTCGGTCTCAGGTCGGCGACCCCGACCGAGCAGTAAATGAGTTTGACAGAGTCGGAGTACGGACCCAGTCACAGCTTAGTCCACCAGGCCGCCACACTCCCGCTTGCATAGCTGTCCATTCCTAAAGTTAGGGAAAGCACTAGGAATTTGGGACAGAAATCCGGGGGGGCTTATTTAGTGACCGATTATCTCCCTGTAGCTCTTTTCTTCTAACCTAGCTCGGAGGAAGTGAGGTCGCCCCTGTCACAGCCACAGAACTCTGCCCCGCGATGTCACCACTCGAAGAGTTTCCCACCTGTTGGACAGACTTTGGCCACATGCTGGCCCTCTCCGTTTTACCCTTTCAGACCCTGGCTAGGTATTCCTTCCACCCGTTGCTTTTAAACTCTCTCTCTCTCTCTCTCTCTCTCTCTCTCTCTCTCTCTCTCTCTCTCTCTCTCTGTCACACACACACTCACACACGGTTTTAGAGAAGCGATTACACTGTGCAGGATTTGGAGGTGTCTACTGAGGATTTGGAGGTGTCTACTGAGTTCGTGGCACAGTTATGGATGCCTTTGAACTTACAGTCAATTTTCTTATTGACCCAAAAGTTAAAGCATAAGGTGTGTCTAGACGGACCCTTAGAGCTGTTTTAATTTCCTAAGAAGGGGTCTTTTGAAGCCTTGTTAATGACGGTGTGATATAATAGCTCTTTTGTGAGGGGCTTCGCAGTGGGGCTTTGACTAACGTTTTCGTTTATTGAGCGCCCAAATGTGATGGTGATTATTCGAGGGATGAGCCAATGGTTACTGGGGAAAGGTATAGAGTAGGAGGCCTTAGCCTTCTCCCAGAGCTAGGCTGCTAATTAGAGTTAGTGACATTGGCTGTTAGCTTTGGGACTTGGAGAGCTTTTATCTCTTTATTTGGGTCAGCATTATCTGAGCTTCGGGCATAGTTGCTGGGGCTTCTGTAGTTAATGAATCTAGATACCCTGATTTTTTAATGAAATGTCCTGATTCTTAAATAGGGACACTTATTTTTCTTTATATTGAGCTCCATATACAGGGCCATGTGTGAGTTGGTCTAACCTGTGGCTGCCAAGTTGAAACTGTCTAGGTTAGAGATGTCTCTTGCCTCTGCTCTTCCTCTGGTTCCTAACTGCTCCCGACTGCCATTCCTACCCTGAGCCCTTTCCTTGAGGCCCCGCCTTTTAAGTCCTGCACCTCGTTCTTACCCTAGCAGTTTCAGAACTCCTAGCCCTGAAAGATACCTGAGCTTTTGAAACCAGAACTAACTACATTCTCCAAAGTACACACAGTTGTTTGGTAGGTTTCTTGGTGTGGTGGTTCTCACGAACATCTTAAAGAACGGACCTCAGAGGAAAGGAGTCTTCACTCTGTTGTTAGTCTTAAAGCTGAAACCTAGGTTTGTCATCTCACACCTGAGGAAACAGGTGCGGACTCTGCAGGCACAGCTTGTGCAGGGAGCCAGGGAGACACGGGTAGGAGATTTTAAGACCACATTTCTTGAGCCCCCCCCCCCCCCCCCACTTCTTCCTCAGCAACACCGGACAGAGAGGTATGATTTATAAGGCCAGTGGACTTTAGCTCAGTTTCCTTTTTTTATTGCCTGTGTTGGCTTTAATTATTCTCTCTTGAGTCTTCAGGTGTGGAAGTGACGCTAGTGTAACTGACAGATGTTACTGTTTAATACACCACACCGCTAGCCCATTTGTCTTTCTGGATCAGCCTTACATGAGTAGTTGGTTGGGCTCTTTCTCTCTGTGGGGCTTTCCTAGAGTCCTGTATCGCAGAAACAGTACATAGATAGTTAACAGTATAATATGTGCAAATGTGATATATGCAGCCTAATAGTTTGGTGTAAGTTTAATACTGTTAAGAATGTGCTTTTAAACCCTGTGTTAGGCTCTGGGGTCAGACTTGTCTTTCCACTCAGAGTTATTGAAAATATTTGTACCTTAAAATAGGGACCATAGTAAGATTGGATATGATTTGCTATGGAGTCATCTTTACCTCATTTAAGGGGAGATAAATTATGAATGTAAGCCCTAGGCAGTCTACAGGCGAGTTATGTACTTGGGATGTGACTGGGGGGGGGGGTGGCTCTAGTAGTACAGCTGTTCTGATTTCTTTCTAATAAGCTCAGTGCATTTCACAAGGGAAAGAACTGGGGAAGAGGGACACCCAAGCCACCTGTATACACTGCTTGCTGCACAAGCCCCAAGGGATGGTCACAGGGAAACTTGAAGTCCCATTTGAAGAGGCCTTACATGAGAGCAGATTCACTGACTCTGTGCAAGCTCCCCGGCTGCTCACGTTACAGGGCTCTCTCCCTTGCTCTATCTTCCGTTCATCCCTCATCCTTCCATGTTTGCCTTCCGCTACATCTATGGGGAACCTTTAGACAGGTGCCACACTCTCCTTTTCAAGGATGTGGCTAGTCCAGAAGTGGTTCGGGAAGTCACAGACTACCCCACGCACCTTCTCTGTCTGCTTGAGGATGGAGGTGGAGCTGACTGAGATTCCTGGTGGGTATGCTTTTGGGTGGAGGCGTACCAGTAGTCTGCGAAGCTCTATAAAACCGAGAGCAAACTTGTGTTTCTAAGCTAAGGTGTGGACTCTTAGAGGGTGTATGAGCATGCTCCTCTACGTGTTAGCTGTTTTCACAGATTGCCAAGCCCACTTTTACGCTGTTTTCCATCCTGGCCCAGCCTAGCGCCCAGAGTGGGGTAAGAATGCGTGTAGCTGTGGGAGTGGAGTGGACTCCCTCTCCTTTCTCACCCAATGAGGTCTGGGAACATCCTGGGTGACTCCTCATTGTTGAAGGCGGCTGTCGTCCTTACGTGATTCTTGCAGTCACATGGAGCAGCTTGAGCTGGACGTGGAAAGCCCACTTGCAGTAGTGGGTGGGATTTTGGCCTAGGTGCTGGTACTTTCCTGCGTGTGCTGTGTTGTTTACCCTCCCTGCAGTCACCAAGACTGGAAAAAGGCTAGGCCAAGCGCTCTTTACTTTTCTGTGTCTGTGTGGGAAGACATGTTGGTGTCACATTGGTTGACTCCATCTTACCAATACTGCCTGAGCCATTGTTCGTCTATGACAGAGCCAGTTAAATATAAACTGCAGGGCTCCAGCTCAGACCTGAGCAGAGCTGCATGCGATGTTCTTAGATAGCTAAGGCTGCCTCGTCAAATGTTCATACTGGTGAGTTATTTGCAGGCTGGACAGATGGCTAGTGGTTTAGAGTACTTGCTCTTGTATAGGACCTAATGGTTTAGGCTCTTAGCACCCACACAGTGTGGTTCACAACCGCAGTAACTCCAGTACCAGCAGATCCAGCGCCCTCTTCTAGCCTCAAGCTCTCGACACACATGACATACAGATATGCATTCAGGGAAACACTCATGCACATAAAGTAGTAAACATCAAAATAATACTACTTTTTAAAATAAAGTGTTGTTTGTATGCTGTGTATATTCATTAGAATTGGTTGTTTTCATTTCATGCCTTCAATCAGAAATTGAAAATAAAGCTTCATAGAAATCTACTTCACTGAGCTCTGCCTTTAATTTTACAGTTTTCTTGGAAATAGTATAATTTTGTTTGCACCAATAAGCATTTGCAGACAAGTGTTATCTGGATTTAATAGTTCATTCCTGTAATGCCAGCACTCCAAAGGCGGAGTCAGAGGAGCATTGGGAGTTCAAGGCCAGCCTTATTTTCATGAGACCCAGCTTAGTCTCCCTCCTACAACACACACCCACACACACCCACACACACACACACACCACACACACACCACACACACACCACACATACACACAACATACACACCACACACACCACACATACACACACACACACACTCACATACACACCTATCTTTAATTAAAATTTGTGGCTCTGGAACTCTCTGGAGCAAAGTAAGAGGTACTAGTTATAATTTAGTGTGCACTGGAGCTTACTCAGTTTGGCATGTTGGCTTCAGAATAGAGTAGTTTAGCTCATGAGAAAATGGGTAAATAGTATTTATTGGAAACTTGAAAACATCCTTTCAAATAATGCCATGGTGCTAAACTAGGAAATTCTAGTTAGGACTTACTATCATTTTGGCTTTAACGTTTAACTGTAGAGTTGACGTGTAACTAGGCTGTCTGGACATGCCGTCATTTTCACGTTGCTATTTCCTAGCTGTCCTGTTTTATAGCAGAGAAGTTTTTGCTGTGGTGATCATCTGAGTCTGTGGGGTTCGTGACCTCTGTTCCTTGCCAGAGTGGACAGGTCTTTCCCAGTAAAGGTTGCCATTCTCTTAGATCTGTCAGCATCGGTGACTTTATCTTAACGCCATTCTCTTAGATCTGTCAGCATCCACGACTTTATCTTAACGATGCCGCTTTCCTTGCATTGTTTGACTCTCTTTGCTTCCCATTAGAAAAGAGATGAGCCCTCCACCAGCCCCACATTCCCAGTGAGGCTCCAATACCGCTGTGTAGCACAGCAGTTGTCACTTCAGACATCGAGACAATAGAACCAAGCAAAGCTGAACTTCAGCCCCAAGACACAAGTTCTGGTGGAGCCATTTCAGTTTTTATGGTTCCAGCGAATGAATGCCAGAGACTTGGGCACGCTAGGCAAGTGCTCCATCCCTAGAATGTTTTACAGACAGTTCAATTCCCTCCCTTCCCTCTGTCTCTTCCTGGTTACCTTAGGTGGATGGATATTCCATCCTGGCTCTCACATGCTTTCCTTTCTGACTGTGTTAATCTTCATTACTTAAAGTTGGCATTTATCTGTTCTTAAAGGACACACAGCTTTGAGGTCACCTTTGAAGGCTCACATCGCAGCTCACCTTTCGTGGCCAAGGACATTAACAAATACTGGTGCACGGGTCTGGTTGCTGAAGTGATGGCTCTGCTTTGCTCCTCCTTTGAGAACTGTGTCCTGAGTCACTGCTCTGTGTGTCCACTGAGTCCGAGCTGCCCTGCCTCCCTGTGCACGCAGCTCCCCTGCCTGTTCTGCTCGACCTTTCCTTTGGCTCTTTTCCTATTGCCCCGCATGGGCACTTGTATTTAGTAAGTGATTGTTTGGATTGCCTTCTCTGGGCACTGGGTTGTGAGGGGACAGAGGGGAGCCAAATGCTCATACAGGCTAGCCACAGGATTTGCTTGAAATGCAAATTTATCATAGGCGGTTAGGGCTTAGCTGGAAGAGGAACCGCAGATCATGCAGGCTTCTCACTGAAGCTCAGAAAACTGAGGGCAAGATTGGGGAAGTGTCGTCTGAAGACAGCTTCTGAGAATTGAAATATACTAAGAAAGTGATTTGTTTCAATGACTATTTTAGAGGATCAGAATTTCTGATAGGTGTAATTGTTGGTTTGACAGACAGCTGTTATTAAATTTAGGAGAGAAGAGTGAAAACATGTGGTCATATTTTATTTTTGGCCTTTGATCTGTTGACCCCGTGCATCTGTTTGCTTTTAACTTGGGCACAGGCTCTCTGAGTGACATCATGCCTTTTGCTTGAAATGTCACTGGATCATAGGATACTTGCTCTCTTACCACCACACTGCCAACACCTATACATGCACACTAGAGAAAAGAAGGATCAGAAATGACCACTGGGCAACTTGTTTCTTAGCACTCTCCACATTGGTGGATATATGAAAATTAATAGTAGCTAACTTTTTTGAGTACTTGTTACTTTAAATATGTCTTTCTCTCAGCAGTCCTGTGAAGGAGCTACCCCAGGAACTGCTGCACATAGAGGTAATAAGGGCTGGGATGAAGAGCAGCTAACCTCTCAGTCTGACTGGGTACCCACAGGAACTGTTGTTCTCTGTAGGCTGTGTGCTTCGAAGCACAGGGCAGGATGTGTTAGCAAAGAGGCAGATGACGACTCAATCTGTTGGGACAAGAGGATGCCTGCAGCAAACCACCTATAAAAGTGCAGGGTAGTTGTGGTTCAGTGTTTGGACTGAATTCTGAGTGGTAGGGGAATAATCAAATCCATGTTGGAGGGAAAAGGTGGGTAAGGTGCATTCATGTATCCACATATGAATGATAAGATCTTTCTATACTCCAGGCTGGTCTTGATATCAGCATTTCCATCCACAGCTTCTTGAGTACTGGGATTATAAGTATGTACCACCACATCTGCAAGGTGAAGATTTAGACATTTGTTCTCTCATACACAGGCAACACTGGATGATTTCAGAGGTTCTTGTTAGATTTCCTCTGCAGTTCACTTTCTTACCTCCCTTCTTTGTCTGTCTCTCCTGAGACTCTCTTCTTTCTCCCAGCTCTGTCTGCTAGGCTATGTCCAAGGACAAAGAGATTGGAAGCAGAAGTACCTTGCTTATTTACTGGTTACTTATATCTGAGCCTGGCACCTCTTCTCCTGGATTCCACTGTGTTTGAAGCTCCTCTTTCCCCTGTCTGCATGAGGATGGGACAGTGTCATGGGAAATACAGGGTGTTGGAAGTCTGCATACTCCTAATGTGGCATCTCCTGATTTTTAAGCTCAGTGTGTTGGGATTCCTTCAGATGAACTTGCTTCAGTCCCTGAGCCTCAGACTCCCCTTGGCTTCCTGGCTTGCCTAGCATAGCTGCCTCTCCAGCACCCAGGCCTTTCATGCTTTTACCATTTCCCTCTCTGCTTCCCACTGGTCTTTCACTTACACAGTTTGTGTTCTGTCCCCTTTATGTCATTTTGGGGTGAATATTATTTTCAAGGTGCTGGTATTAATACTAAAGTTGGAACATGCAGGGCAACTCTAGCCAAGCCTGGAAATCTTCAAGGAAAGGGAAGCATTTTCATAGTGGAAGGCATATTCCTTATCTTTGCCTAGAAGCTTACCCCCTTCCTAATACTTACTAGTTCACTCAAGAGACACTTTAGGAAGTGACTATGTTCTTAAAGAAGTTGTTCATTAATGGTAGCCATTAAAATGTGTGGGAGCATAGCAGCATCCGGGTGGTTGGTTGGTGGCTGGTGAGGGAACAAGAGACACCTTGAGGAGGGATTTTGCTTAGGGGGCTTGTAATAATTGATTCTCTCTTTTCATGTTCAGAGTTAAGTTGCTGTCAGATTTACTTGTAATATGTTATAAAAGTCGGCATTCTGTGTAAATGCTTCTATTAGCACTATTTCTGTTCTTGGAACACGGAGGGGTCATCCAGGAGCTTCAGTGATGAAGATGCATGCCAGTAGATTTTAGTTTAAATGACCTTGGAGTCATGTAAAGTGATATATGAATGGTCTCACTTAAAGCAATTCTGAACTGGAAGAAAGTGCTTCGACAGAGATGCTAGGACCCATATTTTATCACTGTGGCATCCTATATGTGAAAAGAGTTAAATTTCCATGTCATAGCATTTCGTAAGCAGCTGTGTATTGTCACACAATGGGAAATGTCAGTGCAACAAGAGTTTGAAAATATCTACTTTGGTGTGATTTCAGCGAGGAGGACATGTACCGTGCTGCAGATGAAATAGAAAAGGAGAAAGAATTGCTAATACATGAAAGAGGGATATCAGGTATGTGTGGAACTGTTTTGTCTGTAGACTTTCTTATGCATAGCAAACCTAGTTAGATCAGCACACCCGCTTTCATGAAATGCGGCCTGAAATTCCTACAAGTCCTGTCATACATCCCGTCTCTTGTACATGAGCTAGTCACTTTGCTGAAATAGACGTAGGGAAGACTCCGCCCTGCATCTCTTGACTCTGCCATCTCTCAGCTTGTTTCTTTACATTCTCTAAGAGTTTGGATCTGAACACATTTGTCATTTTCAATTGCAAGATGTTTTGAGAAGTTAGCTGTGCAGATATCCTTGCAGAAGGCCACGTGCATCTAATGACTGTGGCAGAATGACCATCTGCTTGAGAACCCCAGCCACTGTGTGGCTGTGCAGTGTGTATTGCTCTGTCCGGCTTGGTCTTCTCATTCCTGGTGTGGACTTGGTGCTCTCCGTGGCTCTGGCCTGTGGTGCCAAGTGAAGTGTGTCTTTCGTTTGCTTTAGGCCTGTGCAGAGGCAGGTGGAGATCTCACCAGAGCGCACATGAATAGTACTCTCACTGATTGTGTGATTCTCATGTTCTGCTTCACTATTAGACCTGGCTTCTGTCCCTGTGGCTATCAAAAGCATTATTGTAATTAGGATGCATAAGGTTTTGATAACGGATTCTGATTCTTCCTCCAGAGCTGGTCCATTCTTCCTGTGAAGCCAGCAGGGATGTCTTGTAGTGACCCTCCTTAGAACTTCATAGGCTGCTCAGTCTTCATGCTGTGGTGCTCCAAATCCCTCAGGACAGAGTGCTGTTCAGGCTTAGTCAGCTCTAATGAGCTTCTCTGCTTACCTGTTGTTTGATAATGCTGTAGACCTGCTGTTTTCCTCTTCCTTGTGAGGCTCGGTTTTGATTTGATTTTCTTCTGTCCAGCATTGTTCCCACACATCGCCCAAGCATTCAGTGAATCTTCCGAAGTGCGGTTTCAGTGTCACGGTACTCCTCATAGGTCAGTCCTGATGAGCTCATTGCCCTTCCTCGGTGTCCTGTAGGAGCTCTGCTCCTTCATAGCAGGGCCCAGGGCTTTCTGAGACCAGTGAGAATGCTCTGCTCCTTTCTGTGGGTGAAAAGACATTTCTATCTAACTTCTCTCCGTAAAGGCTTCCCACACCCTGTCCTGTCCAGTTTTGTAAGTACAGTTCTATTGGAAGTTTTAAGTTTACATTTAAGATCCAGTGCTAGTCTGCCCTCTGCAAGTTCCGGGTTCCTGGAGGAGTCCCAGTTCTGTTTCTTACTCTTTGAGGTCTGATTATTATATTTGTCACATACATGGTGCTTAAGGACCAAAGTTGACTTATTTGAGTGCCTGCTTACTGCTCTAGGTTTTTTTTACTTCCCACTTCCCTTTTTTTTAAATTTTTTTTTTAATTTTTTGGTTTTGGTTTTGGCAAAAGAAAGTCTTCCTTGAAGCAGCAGTGGGAGCCTGTGTAGTTTACAGTAGACAGAGGGAGTTGTACCCAGTGGGCTGATGAGGTCAGGCACTGCCTCGTCTTGTGCCTCCATCTCCTACCCTAGTCAGCATGTGGGGACTGCTGTATCTCCCAGACACAGAAACTAGTGGAGTTCTGGTAACATTATGCTGTAACTATGCAAGTACTTCAGTTCTTCAAGCCTCTTACCTTATGCAGACCTCTCATTCAGGGCAGGTTTGGGCTTCTGGCTTGGCCTCTTGCTTTTATAAGACACCTGGGCCAGCCTTAACCCTGTGATCTGACATGGTAGGATTCCCCAGCCCTGCCCAGGGGTCAGGCCTTAGTGTGTCTGGGAGTGAGGACTGCAGAGAAGACAGGAAGGAAGACTTCTTGTCTAGAAGCCTTTCCTCTGCTGGTAAAGTACTTTCTCCCCAGGCTTACACCCCTGCCTGACAAGAACTTATGGCCCAGAAGGGTCCTGACTGCGTCTTAGCAGTTCTTCCTCTTTGTGGGGGATGTGAGTGGAAAGGCAGATATGTGTGAGTACTTCCTTATTCTAAGTAGCCTCCTAAAAATTATCTCTTGAATTTCAAAGTATTAACAGTGGTTGTTTTCACTTCTAGGTTAATCATGATGTGTTCCACACAGAAATCTATCTGTGCATGGATTATGTAGCCTTTTGTAAAAGGTTGTTTTCTTTGAGAAATGGTGAACAATGAGGTGGTTTTTAAATAGGCAGTTTTTACAATTTACTTAAAAAACAAATTGCACTCCTTAAACTCGAGGGCGGCTTTGGTGTTCGCGGTCATTAGCCTCCACTGTGCTCTGCCTGTACGGGCTTGTGGGCCTTTCCACTTCATCTATAGCATCCACTGGGGCAGAGCCCGTCCTCATTCCCTCGTCTCCATCCCTGGCACAGTGCTTGGCACGTTTAGAACTTCTGTGACTATTTATTGAATTGAGTGAAACACCTATGTACAAAATATGTAGGCTCTATGTGTTCTAGGTTTATTTTTCTAAAACAATTGCTAATATCTGTATCCTTAACAGTTAAAAAAAAAAAAAACAAGCCAAGATGAACCTGAGAATTGCCCTAATTTCTTTTTGAAGTAACAGACTGTCATATGCACACATACACATAATCATAGGCATATATCAAGAAATCAAACCTCATCTACTAAATCAAGAAAGTCTTACTTAATGCCCTAAGTTCAATCCCCAGTACACACACACACACACACACACACACACACACACACACACACGCATATGCATATGCACATGCACATGAACAAAGGAGAGGGGTATTGGGGGGAGAAGTGAAAGGCATTTTTTTATATATAAAAAAATCCATAACATTTGTTTGATCCTGAGTACTAATTTTGAGTGACATCAAAGGATGTCTGTGGATTAACCAACACTGAGTGCTCTGATCCTTTCTGGCTTGTAACAAAACCTATAGTCTTTTAGGTAAATAGCAAATGGAATTTTGGTTAGGTGTTATCTCTGTCTAATAGATATGAAAAAGATGATGGAACTATTTTCATGGTTCATATGCTTGCATCTGATTACTAAAGTGTTCACAGACACCCGTGGGTCAGATGAGTGTGAACAGGGAGGTTCCTGCAGCTCTCTGAGCATGTGAGGAAGGACTGCCACCTGACTCAGGATTTAAATGAGCAACCTGACTACTGCTGTGTGGAGAATGCTCTGGATGGTGTGGTGACAAGGGAGACTCTTTAAGATTGGTTTGTGGAGGTGGCATGGGCTAGAGGCATGGGCAGTAGTGAGATTGAGGAGTGTTTAAAATAGAGAAAGTAAGGCATAAGGAGAGGACTCCCCTCAACCCCTGGAAAGCAATACCTTAATTTCCATTACGCTTTCGTTGATTACTTGTTTCATTTTAGTATTGTCATTTTGTTTTTTCAACAGAACCCAGGTTAAGTGTGGCTCCTGAAATGGATATTATGGACTACTGCAAAAAAGAATGGAGAGGAAATACTCAGAAAGCCACATGTATGAAAAAGGTATGGCCAAGGTGTACCTATGGAAGTCCTTCATGACCGTCTGTCATGAGTTTTGATATGACATACGTATCATAGGTTGTTTTTAGACATTGGTTAAGACAACTGCTATAAAAAGACAATGCTGTAAATATTGGTGTTCTAATTTTAGAGATGAGGAAACTGACTGCAAAGATAAGGACTTGTTTGGAGTCATAGCACTAATATAGAAGCAACATCAGTTCTGTCGTAACTTAATTTCTTTGAGGAACACATAGCTGTGCTGTTGCGAGTAGAACCAGCCACTGGTGCTTCTCTCTGAGACAGTTGGGAGTGCCCTCTTAACCGTGCCATAAAAGCCTCAAGGATAAGCAGAGGTGACTTTACACCTTCTGCCTTATACCTTTTAGGTATAGAATTCTCCTGTACTCTCTCTTCGGAGGGATTTGAACCATTTCCTTCATTTGAGGTGTGCCAGGAGCTACCTTCACTTCACTCTATTGCATACACTGGCACCCCTAGAATATTCTCTGAGACTGTGATATGGTACTGGAGCTACAGCACACCCTATGGGCTCTACCTACAGACTGTACTCCATCCATCATTGGTAATGAGTAGGGGGAACCGTGTGACACTGTTTCTGTCTGACCATTCCTAAGCTAGTGACAAACTTCTTCTTAGTACTTAAGGTTGTGTCTTTTTTTTTTTTCAATTATTCATATTTTGAATTTGAATATACTACTTGTGTTTTAGACAGTCTTTTGTACTTTTATCATTTATCTGTATGTGTATGGGTGTTTTGCCTTCATGTATATCTGTATCATGTGTGTGCAGTGTCTGCAGAGGCCAGAAGAGAGCACTGGATGGATTCCCTGAGACTGGAGTTAGCTATGATTGTGAGCCTCCGTGTGGATGCTTCCAATGAACCCAGATCTTCTTCCAGACCTTCTGGAAAGGTCTTTCCTTCAGTTAGGAAACTGCGGAGTCATTTCTCCAGCCAAATTTGGTAGAATTTGAGGACCGTGTTTGAAAGCTGCTGCTGCTTCTCCTCCTCCTCCCCCTTTCTCCTCCTTTTCATCCTCATTTTCACCATCGTGGTTATTATTAAATATTATTTTAGAAAATATTACTCATTTTTAGGATTCAACTCTGGTCCACAGATCTGAAAGAAGATGTCCGCCTTAGCCCTAATTCTTATAAATGTGTGTTCTAGGCCTTTGCGTGTGAACTCTGTCACAGGGCACCTTGATTCTCAGTGCCTGCCAAAGGTGAAAGGCTTATTTTCTCAGAGGCCTTCTGCAGTCACGCTGCCGCCTACTGGGGTCCCCAACGTCTCACCCAGACTCCGCGGTGAATCATGTCTATATTTTCTTAGCTGCCCTAGAAAGGGCATCACCAGCTAATAATTCATTCTCTTGCCTTAGTCTCTTCCAGAGATCTGTTTAAATAGTTGGTATGTCTAAGTCCAATACTGAAGACATTCAGGTTACCCAAATATGCTGTATTTTAGAACTGACAGGAAAATCATTCCTCTTTGGGTTTGATTTCAGGGAAGGAAAGATTTGTCCATTCAGTAATCAATTAAAACACCCATTTAGGGTGCAGCTCCTTAAGAGCTATGATGTCATCTGAACGTTTCCACTCTCCGTTAACAACTTTGATTCTTGATCTTATTTTAGTCCTTATTCGCCTAATTGCTTGTGTTTTGATTTGAATCTTCATTTGGTAGTGTTTATAAATCCAAATTAGCTTTTTTTGAAGTGTTAGGTTCATCTCTGAAGTACAGTTAGAGATCTGTAAGATTCTAATGGACCTGCAGCTTTTGGATCTCCTAATGATGCAGCTGTGAAGTGTGTGTCAGGTTGTGTGTGTCACTCTAGTGCTTGTCATGAGGCTGTTACAAACAGACCTGGACCATCAGTCATGAAAGTGTCATGCACAAAGTCATATTGTCACTCACTTGATAGCTGCCTGAGCCAGTGTTCTGTGTATAACAGTGTGCCATTCTATGACAGCAGCAACCTGATGTATTTCACGTTCACTTTACCTCTTGATTGTGTTGTCTCATACTTGATTTAATATCTTTGTTTTCCATTGTGACTTGCTAGCATACTTCCCCTGCTAATACTCAGTAAGAGACTCTCTAGTCCAAGTGTATAGTAGGATATACCAGCTCGGTCTGTGCAAATGCACTCCTATGTGTGCACAGCGATGACATTGTCTAGTGACATAGTCTCAGAATGTATTACCATTGTTGAGTGACTCAGGCCTGTATGTGTACACATGCCCTTTGGAAACTCAGGGTTTATGTATATGTTTAAAACCGGATATAGAAATATTGCATGTGCGTGCCCCCTTCCTGGTCTCTTTATTAAAGCATTTGGGATAATTAACCACACATTAAACCTTTAGGAATGCAGCAGTGAGTGAGTGCTCCCTCAGATGCTTAGGGAGGGACAATGAGGATGGCTAGTGCTGGACAGCTGCTTTACATGGATGTCAGGTCTGTTGCATTGTTATACATCAGTGGTTCTTAACCTGTGCGTCACTACCCCCTTGGGGGTTACATACCAGATATCCTGCATGTCATATATTTACATTAGGATTCATAACAGTAGCAAAATGACAGCTATGAAGTAACAAGGAAATAAGTTTATGTTTAGGGGTCACCATAACATGAGGAACTATGTTAAGTAGTCAGCATTAGGAAGGTTGAGAACCACTGTTACCGAGGCTGAGGTCTCATAAAGCATCAATATTTTAAGGTAAATGGAATTATAATCAGAGATTGGAATGCCTTACTGAGCTATTCTTTCTTGTTTACCATTTCCCAGTGATTTAGGACAATTTTTCCCCGCAGGGATAGAACTTTTCTTGCTGTCTCAAGCCAGTAACCACTATCTGAAATCTTTGATGTTTTCTCCCAAGGGCTATGAGGAAGTTTCTCAGAAATTCACTTCCATAAGGCGAGTTCGTGGTGATAACTACTGCGCATTGAGGGCCACACTGTTCCAGGCCATGAGCCAGCTGGCCGAGCTGCCCCCCTGGCTGCAGGACCTGGAGCTCACACTGGTATGTTGCTGCATGAATTTGAGTCACAGTGTTTCAGGAAGTTCTTGTGAGAAGACTTCTCTTTTCTGCTCATGTCACCTGATGATTTTATGCAGCGTGATTTCAATGTATGGATTTGTTCAGTTTGCATCTGTAGGATGATCTTGTATGTATAAAAATGACTAGAAATAATCAGTATTTCCTACAAGAAAATAAGACAAAACTTAATACACTTAAGCTGAGTTAAAGACCTGATGTTTAGAATTCATAAAAAAGACATAGAAAAAACTTGACTTTATTTTAGTGTTTCTATGATGTAGGTTATATAATTTTTATTGGAATCCATGCAAGTTTTAGGGGCAGGTCAAAAACAAATATATGCTTCATGATGAGATGTTAGTGTTACATGGAGAAGCCTTCCCTGAACTTGGCTATTCTTAGTGCTTTAAGTCTGCCACATGGTAGAGAGTCCCTGGGATTTATGGCTGCAGGTGTCTTAATTCAAAGAAGGTCTCATGCTGACGTTTCCCGTAGTGGTTTATAAAAGGAAATTCTGTAAATCCTGGCACTAGTGAACATGGCTTTGCTATTTTCTATTTGCACATGAGTTGAAGGGCTTTGCGGGGAGTGAGGGTGGACAGAGTCTTAACTCTGCAGCTTAGGCTGACTTCAAACCTGTGGTAATCCTTCTGCTTCAGTCTCGTGAGTGCTGGGATTACGGGTGTGAGCCAGCATGCCTGGTGGATATAAACATGGCAAAGCTGTTACTTCTGTGTGGTCTAACACTTAGCAATAAGGATTTCCTAGGAGTAATAGGAGTGCCTGCCGCACTCACCTCTGTTAACGTAGTGGGTGACTGTGCCGACTGCCTTGTTCCTGTTACACTTGGGCTTCTTACACAAGCATGGGCTGTGTACTTTCAACACACCCAATAGAGGGAATGAATGTGTTTTACAACTTATTAAAGAAAGAAATGTAAGTTTTAATTTATTTTTACATGATATTATTCTGAGAGGATAGATTTTGCCTACAATAGTCTTAAAAACAAAAGAAAAAGTACTTTGAAAATTATTACTAAAACTGATACCTTTATATTTGTGGGGCTTTTTAGATTTCTGGGCTTATTTGACACTAATTTTAAATTTTTATACTTTCTAAGAGTTTTTGGTTCAAATAATGTCCTAAGTAATTAAACATATACATTACACCTCAGAAAAGTAAAGCAATACTTCCTGCTAACAGGGTGCATTTGGGTAACATCATCTACCACATGGGAAATAGATCAAGTAAGCAAGGTGGGGCGTTGCAATGCCTGAAATTCCAGCACTTTTCATGCTAAGGCAAGAGGATTATGAGTTCTAAGCTGGTCTGGGTTATGTAGTGCAGCCTTTTCGAGAGTGATAGGTTGTGTTTTTGATCAGTATTAACATGTGTTCCTTGTAGGAGTGATGAGGCGATCATGTGGTTTTCCTGGCCTGATAGGAGTACTGTGCAGATAACTGTTAAATTCCCACAGCATCACGCGTTTGCCTTCCCGAGGCTGTGGTCACTGAAATCAGTATTCACATTGATTGAATTTTGCTTCTGCTCAGTCTCAGATGAAGAGACTACATTTGTTCTCATGCCCTCAGAAACTTAACGTGGTTTGGACCTTTCTTGACTTGAGTGAAACACCTACCTCCAGCTCTGTGTTTGAGGTGCTTCAAAAGGAGAGGTAGAAACACAGACTCACTGACTGAGCAAGAGTGCTAGCTGTCTGCCTCCATTTGCAGACTCTGACCTCAATGCCACCAGGGCATCAAAGCGAGACAGCTAGGCTCAGCAGTCGTTGCTTGAGAACAACTCCTGGACAGGGCCTTCTGTTCTGCTGCTGCTCAGCTTCTCTGGCCGTGCTGTCCCCCTGCTTAGGAGGTGAGCTTTGTCCCTCTTGACCTGCAGCAGTCCCCTTGTCTCTTGTCCTGCCTAGGCTTTCTGATTGTTCTCATTTCTGTCCTGAACCAGCCTGTTTGACTGCAGGCAGATCATCTGACCCCAGCCCCAACCTGGACATAGCTGGTCAGAGCTGGGTCAGCCCCTCACCCTGTGTAAAGGGACTATCCTTTCTATTAGGAGCTTTTTAGTTTTAAGTGTGCTGTATTTGTAAAATCTGTGAATGGATGAGATCTGTGACAGCACATGCTACAGGAAGACACTAAAGCTCCTTGGGACTTCATTTTGGGGATGATGCTTTTGATATTTGCAGTTGCCGTGTTATCAAGATTATAGGTGATTGTTAGAGAAAACAAGCTGTTCTCTAGGTCAGTCACAAATGATGTGCTTAAGCTCCCTAGTGACCCATAAACATTACCATCATCTTCTCTTGCTTCAGTCTCCTTCCTCCTCCTCTACTGTTGTCTTTAGTTCTCTTTTCTTCAAGACAGTTTCTCTGTAGCCCTAGCTGTCCTGGAACTTGCTCTGGAGACCAGGCTGACTTCAAATGCACAGTCTGTTTCTTGCTTACATCTCTTACTACAAAAGAAGGCAGGCCTGCCTGTGTGCCTACTAGAAAGGAATAGTGATTAATGTGGACCCCATGTGACCCATGAAAGCATTTAAAGTTACAGTTACTGAATAAATAAATCCAACTCCATTGTTCTTTCCTAATAGTTCCTTTAAACTTTTGTTATCATGTATCTGTGTGTGTGTGTGTGTGGGTGCTAAAGTGAGTGTACAGAGGTCTGAGGACAGCTTTGTGGCGTTTGCTCGCCTTCTATGTTTACATGGGTTCCTGGGATTGAACACAGGACAGCAGGTTTACACGGCCAGTGCTTTTTCTCCACTGAGCTGTCTTGTTGGTCCTCTAACCTGGTTTCTTTTCTAAGTCTTACTTTTTGGACTTTCCTCCAAGATTCCCACTTGTGGAAGTATATACGCTGGACCTGGACAATCACTTAATCAACTGACTGACCAATGAGTGACTGAGATGAGGAAATTAACCTGTTTCTTCCAACAATAACTGAGTTCCCTGTTGAACCTGCTCCTTAGGTACCCGTCCAGTGTTACAGATACAGATCTCCCCGGGCTGCCCTCTGTCTCCTCTCCTACCTTCTAGTCTTTGGACTAGTATTTTCTCTTGGATTGTAGTTCTTGGAGCCAGGTTGTAATTTCACTTTGTTGCCACTTGAGGGCACATTAGATTCTGGTGCTAAGTCCGAGACTACTTAGACTGCCTTTGCACGTCTCAGAAGTGCAGGAAGGTGTGGGAACAGAGTGGGCTATTGCAGCTTTAGGTTAAGGGTCATTTATCACAGTAAGATATGACATAGAGCAGTCACTGTGATTTTGATTTTTTTAGAGATAAAAGCCATCTCAGTTACACAATTGTCATGGACTAAGAAAGCACAATCAGAGGTATTGTTTATGAAAGTCTCAGAGTCCTAGGTTCTAGTGGAACTGAACATGTCTTGTTCTAGACTGTTTATTATTGTTAAACCAGTTCAGTATGGGGCGTTAAGGATATGAATTTTTGACTCCAAGGGTAAAATCTCTTTCTCTTTTATATTTCTAGTTTTCCTCCATTTGTTTGTTGATTCATTCATTCATTCATTCATTCATTCATTCATTCACTTTGTGTGTCTGTGTGTGTGTGTGCCTCTCCTGCTGAGCCATCTCACTGGACCTCAGAGGTGAAATCTTAGCAGTGTAGTGATGTGCCCATACCCAGCCCAAGTCTATGGTTTTCATCCTGACACTCCCAGGACTCTTGGGAAGATATAGTTTCTCACGCTGTCATTGAGTGAATTGTGGCCTTCAGATTCCAGATTCTTGCTTCTGGCTCTCTCATAAGAAAGGTACTGCTCCCTCACCCTCCTGTGGCTGTGGGTCTGACTCCTCTTCTCCTCATCTTATGGTGTGGGTTAAGTATGTGTGGTAATATTGTTTAACAGATCTTGTGTTTTTAGTGGGTCATTTATAAGGATCAGAAGTTAGGCCTTACTGTTGTATCAGGAAAAGGAGCAGCTTTTGACTTTACCATGGACCTTCCGGGCTTACAGTCACATTGCTGATGCATGTACTAACGCATGGTAAGGCTGCCAGAGTCCCCAGAAGCCAAAGGTAGTTAGTATGAAGACCCAGTGTGGATTCTTCCTTAGCTTATCCTCAGATTTGTGCCTTGCCTGTCCTTGCCTGTGGCTGGTGTGCTGCAGGCTGGACTCCTGGGGATTCGAACCAAAAGCATTTAACCTTGCAGCCTTCTATGTGGCAGTGCTTTGAGTTTGTGACTTCATGTTCAGATTCTCCAACCTCAACCCCTAAAATAGACTTGCAGGAATTAATTCTTGAAATAAGGTGGGTTTTGTATGAAGGCATTGAGATGTCTTCCTTTTAGACTGTCTCATAGATGTCTGGCAACACTGACCACTCTTTATCTCTGTTTTTTGATATTCCAGTTACCAGAAAAACTGATAAACAAGTATGCCTGGATCAAACAGTGGAAACTTGGACTGAAATTTGATGGGAAGAGTGAGGACCTGGTTGAAAAAATTAAGGAATCCCTTGCCCTGCTAAGGAAGAAGGTTTGAGCATGTAATTTTCTGTCTCTGATCGGTGCAAAGCTTTCTCTTTTATTGTTCCAGCAGATTCAGAGTTCTAGGCTTATTTATTTATTCATATTTATTTTGTAAGTTTATAATAAAGAAGATTCATTTTGGCTCATAGTTTTCTTTAGGGGTCAGAATTTGCTGGTTTTAGACAAAATAATTTTGGCCTTGGGGAATTGTGCAGTCTGTAGGTGCATGGCAAGGAACTGAGCTTGGTTCCTCAGAACTTAGATAAAAGTAGCAGCTATGGTGGCATGTGATTGTAACCCCAGCAATGGAGAGCAGAGGACAAGACGGTCCCTGAGGGTCACTGGCCATCCAGACTAGCCTAACTAATCAGTGACAGTCACCAAATGCATGCATATGTTATACCCTTATACATGTGCACACATAGACTTGCACACACATTGAAAAAGGAAACTTTAAAAGAACATTAATTCCTCTCATGTTTTTTTTTTTTTTCGGGGGTAAAATGGAAAACCAACGTTCTGTTTTCTTGGGGGTGGTGCTATGTACAAGTGTTTCAGCTAACATTTAATTTTCTTCCAAAGAAACCTTAATAAATATAATTTTTAAGTCATATTTGTAGGTTTTAGGGTTATCATTTAGCCCATATTCCTTTTTAACAGATTTATTTATTTATTGTGTGAGTATATGTGTATGTGCACACATGTGCATCTATGAAGTCCAGAAGAATGTGTTGGTTTCTTGGAGTTGGGTGTGTGTGTGTGTAAGCACCAACATGAGCATCCTCTGTAAAAGCAGCAAGTGCTCTTAACTGAGCTATGTCTTCCATCCTTTATCCCATGTTCATATTCTCAGTGTATTTATGTATATCTCTGTGTAGTTATTAAGTTCTTTCCAGTTATTCTTTTTTTTATATAATTTATTTTTTCTCAAATCGTAATTCATTCACACAGGGGTTATAAACACAGAAAGGCAGGATGTGGGGAAGGGAATGACACTGGAGTGTGGGTGTTCAGGGGGAATACAGATATCTTCAGAACCAGGTATCGGCTGAGTGGAGGTTCAGGGGACAAGTCACTAAGACTCTGCCTATGACTCGATTGTCCTTATCTAAGTTGGTATTGTCTTCCAAGGCTACCTATTTACAAGGTCTATGACTACTCAGGCTTGTAAATTTCCACAAAAGCTGCCTGTTTACATTAGCTTATAGTCATCTGTTTCAGTGTTTTTCCACTGAGACCCAAGACTTGGTGTTAGTATACATGTATGACAGGCCTATTGCTGAATTTAGGCCTATGGCTGATTTTAGGCCTTCAGTGGGTAAGCAGGGCTGCCCCTGACATCTCCTCCCTTCTCTAAGTATAGAAGGGCTGTGGCGATTCTAATCTTGTGAAGGTGGGGATAGAGGCCTGACCTCCAGTATTTGAAGGGGACCTTGTAATGGCTCCAGTCCCCCTGTCGTTGTCCAGTGAGGCATGAGGACCATACCCGTCCCGATGTCTTTTTCCTGGAGAGGGGATACTTTTGACATCAACCTCTATGCAGTCAGGCTTGTCCCTCAGGGAACCCAGATAGATATTTTTATCTTTTATTTATATTCCCTTGCAGTGCTTAGCCTCGCAGCCTAAGCAAGAATTCAGATAGCCTGTCAGAGGGGGTTCTGGGTGGCCCCTCTCAGCTTGGTCTAGGGGCAGAAGTTCCCCCTTTTAGGTTGGGTGGAGATGGGTTTTGGAAACACCCTGTATAAAGTAACAACCTCATCTTGAGTCTCGTGGTCCTCCATAGCTAACTTATGATAATGTATCTGAGTAGGTTTTGCTACCAAATTATTTATCTGTTGTATCACAGAGTTAGTCCGCCTATTTGAGGGCCAGGGACCAGCAGAAAAAAGCAAAAAGAACCCAAATAATGGTCCCAAGATGGAAGGAAGTAGGGTTGACAACCTTGGAGAGGCTGAAAACTAATTCTTGTACCAGCATTCATCTGTCTCTTTCTCTCTCTGACTTTTCTCAGGGCCTTCACTGACCTATTTCATGCTCTCTTTAACCCTCCCTGTCTTGTCTATGTAAAGGCAACATTCTTCTTTAAGGGCTGTACACAGTCAAGAGCTGTACACAGCCTTTTCTATTGTAATAGAGTAAATCAAGTCCAATAAGGATCTTTGCGATTTTAGGAGGTCTCTTCAGACAGCGAAATGAGGGATTTCTTCAGATTAGTGATGTCAGTCTCTAGCTGTTTGATATTCTTGTCAGTGGCCCTTCAAAGGTCTGAGTAGTATATGTTCGGAGGCTAGCATCTGGATTAGAACTTCTAACAGCAGACATCACGGGTGATTCATTTTTACCTGGGGTGCTGCCTGAGTTAAAGCTCCTGGGAGTCCCTCTTTCTCTCGGTTTTCTGGGGTTGGTTATGGAGCTGCCGCCTGTGACCTGCTCTATGCTCGGGCCCAGACCGGAAGTCTCTCCCTTTCCAGTTATTCTTACATTTTAAAAGTCTACCAATATATGTTAATAATGTTTTCAATAAGTAGACTTAGTAACTTGTCTTTTGAAACCATCCTAAGAGTAGTCTGAAAGAGTTCATGGATAGCTTGGTATTCTAATTTCCTGTGGTCTGGTGTATACAATTCTCCCTTCCTGTGGTAGAGGGCTCTATTGTTCCCCCTGCCTATTGGAGTGTAATGTTTAGGGGCCAGAAGCCGCTGGCCTGCTGGAATGATGAAGGCAGGCTGCAAGTCTTTGAAGTGGTGAGTTTGTCAGCTTAGCTATAAGTTGTAGTTTCCTTTTCAAATTTAAGGGTCTGGTAAAGGTGTTAGGTTTTTGTATTATGTATGTTGACTGTAGTTAGACCCTCCTCTGGGGGACTGTGTCTGTGACACGGATCTATAGCACCATTACAGTTCCTCAGTAATCTGTGTGAACAGCTCTCGGCACTTGTCTTTGTCATACTGCCACTAAAAGGTGCTTGGGTTCCTCTACCTTTTAACCAAGAAAGTGGGATGGCTGTGGTGACCTCTGTTCTAAAGATAAGGGAACGCAGCCTGGAGGGAAACCTTGAGAAGCCAGATCTTAATTGCACCTTGACTCTCTGTCTCTCCAGTTGTGCTCCTAGCCAGCACCATTGTCTGCTTCAAGAAAAGATGAAGCGTGACAACATAGTCCAGCCATTAAGTACTGGAGAGTTCTCTAGTCAGAAGTACTACGTTTTTCTCAGGTTTAAAATTCGGACTGGTGTTTGAAAGCAGTGCCAATTAGTGCTTATTCATAAGGGCTGATATTTAAATTGACAGCTCAGTTTTCATGGTAGCTTAGCAGTACACATATTTACAATGTTTTGTTCATTTAAAGAGTTTGGCTATTATGTGAAAACCTGGAGTTTTAATTAGTAGTCAAGAATTCCTGAGTGGATTTATTGATTAGACACTCATGTATATTTTGAAGACATTATGGGGTAAGTTTAATAAACCAATATTCAGGAGATCCCACAGTCTCCCTCTGTAGTCTTCCAGTTTGGAGGCTTGTCTGTGTGTTTCTGGGGTTTCTAAAACCTCCAGGTATGGCAGTCACAGCTGTTTGACAGCTCTCACACACGTTCTGTCAGCTGTCGGGGTTGGCAGGTCTCCGTGCTCTCTGGCAGCTGTCTGATTGCTGCTGCTGCTCTTGTTGCTTGGGAAGGCAGGCAGGGGATCCGCACCCGCCTCACATCCCCGTGCCGCCCCTTGCTGTGTTGTTGCACTTCACCTTAACAAGCTAAACAAGGGCTTCATGTAGTCTGAGGAGCACTGTAAACAAGAGTTTCATGTAATCTGAAGAACAGTGTTGTCTGAGGTGAGAACTTGAAGCTGTTCACATTGGCATGTTGCTTATGGTCCCTTCTTTTGAAAACCATCCGGTAATCAGTGTACAGAAGTATGCCAGAGATTTGCAGAACAAGAATTCTAATGGTGACAACTTTCTTACTGTAGTGGGTAAGCCTGGCTGCAATGAAAACTCCCGAAGCGAGGCAGACAGCTTGTGATGAACTGTTCACAAATGAAGAGGAGGAGTACAGCCTCTACGAAGCTGTAAAGTTCCTAATGCTAAACAGAGCCATCGAACTGTATGATGACAAGGAGAAGGGAAAGGAAGTTCCGTTTTTCTCTGTGCTCTTGTTTGCCCGAGACACGTCAAATGACCCTGAGCAGCTCCTGAGGAACCACCTAAACCAGGTGGGACACACTGGTGGCCTTGAGCAGGTGAGTTCTGTCTTTGAGAGTGTTTTATCCCTAGGCTAGCCATCAAGGGGGGTCCCAAAACTTGTAGGTCAGTTCAGTAGCATCCTACCTAGGTGCTGGTCCAGCCATCACGAGCTTGCAGTCATGGCATTTAAGGCTACAGTCTTGGTTGGGCTGTAGATGTACTTGCATGTCTTACTTGCATAACTCTTGGCAGGAAACCTACATCTCAATTGGTGTCCAGAGGGTCATTCAGTTCTTCACTGCATAGGCCTCTCTACAGATCTGCTCTTGGTTTGGAAGAAGCTACACATTCTCATTTATCCCTAAATCTGTTACTTACTCAAGGGGGTGATGAAGTTCTACCTTTTTAAAGGAGACATTTCTAAGACTTATGGACATAGTTTATTAGTCTCGACCCTTACATGGTCCTAGGATTGCTTTTGCAAAGTGATGGATAAGATTAGTTCTCTTGACTCTCTAGGATGCTAATATAATTTGTAAAATATGTTAACATTCTGTGTGCATACATGCGATTAGCTAAGTAACATTAAGTAACAATAAGACTCTGAATCTAACTTGGTACTTTCTACTTGGACTCCTGAAAAGGCCGGAGTACCAGGATCGATGCTTCAAGGAATAGAGAGTCAAGCTGTGTTTCTGTGACTCTTTCTGCCAGATAGAAATCTATGAAACCTATTCTGTTGTTTTATATAAGGTGTAAGAAAGAGCAAAAGACTGGTGGTTATTGCTAGGCCAGAAATATTTAAGATAACTCTTTGTACTTAGAATGTAGGCTGCTTGACTCCTGAACAAAGAAGTCAAGGTCTTGTGGCAAAGAGTCTAGGAGGACTTGTGCTACACACTAGACTGAAATTAGTCCGTTCTGAGACCCAGTGAGCTCTGCTACAGTGGTGTGTCCTCTTTAAAAATAGCTCATTAAAAAATATTACTTAAGCACCATTAACCCCACTCATTTAAACCACCAGTGAAGTCTAATCTTGAACCATGTTGGAACTCCATAATGAAATCCAAAGCTCGTTAGTGATCAGGCTTCCTTCTCTCCAACTGTAGGCGATCATACTCTAATTTCTGGGTATACATCTACCTGTTGTGGACATTCTTAGAAATGGAATGATACACCATGCGGTATTTTATGACCACCATTTTGACTTAGTATAATGTCTTAGGGTCCATGTGTGTTTTAGAATGTACTGGGGCTTCATTCCTTTTTCTTACCAGGTAAACTGGCATTGTATGGCAGTGTCCTATTTTGTGCACTCATCTGCTCGATGTGTGGGTAACTCCTGCTGACTGCTGTGAACAGTCATTGGCAGGGTTGTGTGTACATGTGTGTACACGTTTCGTTTGGGGTATATGTCCAAGAACAGAATTGCTGTGGGCAGATAGTAATGTTGTGACGATCTGAAGAACTACTGTACAGGTCTAGAATGTGTCTCAGTGCCAGACACTCGCAGAGCTTGGACGAGGCCTACGTTTGATCCCGTGCATTGCCAGAAGAAGAGAAAGACGAGCAGCTCCCCTCTTTACATCCCCACAGCAGTCTATCATTTTTCCATGTCTTCCTGATGCTTTTACTATCTTTTAAAAACCAAGATGAAGTTCACAGAACATAGATCAGCGGTTAAACTGTGTGGTTAATTGACAGTTACTGTGTTTTCAGTCTGTATACGTTTTCATTACTCCCAAAGAAAACCCCTTATGCACGGCCACTCACTGTCTTTTGATTGCACACACTCTCACAGGAATGACGTGCTCATGGCCCAGGTCTGCTCTCCTCTAAGGGCTATGACTTAATGTGGTCATTGGCCGCTCGTTTATTGTCTTTGGAGAAATGTCTTCCAAATACTTTGTTCAATTTTAAACTGATGTCTTATTATATACTTTATTAAACTAACAGTAAATTTTTTATGTTCCAAGTATAAGTTCCTCTTGGCTATGTACTCCATTCTTTATTATCCTTCTTGACTAGGTTCAAAAGGGAGGAGAACATTTGCAGCTAAACCGTTGCCTCTCATTGTCTGGGATAGTGGATGCCCTTGGTGTTAGGGGCCATCTTCCCTGTGGGTTCCCTCAGAACACTCATTTGCTTTTCCTTCCCAGGTTGAAATGTTCCTTCTTGCCTATGCTGTTCGCCACACCATCCAGGTGTACCGGCTGTCCAAGTATAACACTGAGGAATTCATCACAGTCTATCCCACTGATCCCCCCAAGGACTGGCCAATGGTGACGCTCATAGCTGAGGATGATCGGCACTATAACATCCCTGTCAGACTGTGTGAGGAGACAAGTCTGTGAGGGACACACATGTCAACAGCCAAGAGATGCACATGTGCAGCTCCTCCTCTGGGGCCTCAGATCTGCGGGTCTCCAAGGACAATCTGGGAGAACTCTTGGGCCCCTGAAGCCAACTTTGGACCGATATGATCTGAAGACTAGCTGTTGATAATGAGAATTAATTAGCCAAGCCTTCATTCATTGTTCTGTTACACAGTATGTTTCACTGGGGGCTTCAGCACGTGCCTTTGGAAGGTGCAAACTGTGTCTCCATAAGGCAGATGTTTTTGGGTCAGAGGAAACTGTTTGGAAAGGAATCTGTCCAATGAAAGTTCTAACGGTAAACTGGTTTTTACTTCTCTTTTTAAAACAGTAGTTTTGTTTTTTATTTTTATTCCTTTTTTTGGGGAATGGTGGTGATGGGTCTCATTAGTGGTCTTCCTATGAGATATGCTTAAATAGTAGTGTCCAGGGATGAGTAGTTACAGTGTCTTTGGTAGCCTCATCTGCTTTTGGAGGCATGGACAGTGAATTTATATGCCAATTAACATATTTAAAGCATAATGTCTCTTAGAAGACTAAGAATGGGGTCCCAGAGTAGTTTTTTGAAGGCTGGGAGAGGTTCAGAAGAGAGTGGGGAGGAGTTTAGGCTTTGGTTGCTGAGGCTTTGTGCCCTGGCATTGGGAGATCCTCTTTGTACATGTGTTGGGTTTGCTCTAGTGTTGGGGTTGTGGATTTCAGTGATTCCAGTGTTTATAGAGGTGGAAATCTAAGCTTGTCACTCAAGTTCACAGGTGGGTGCCCCTTTTCAAGCTGCTGACGATGCAGTGTGCTGATGAGCCCATGTAACTCATCCTGTGACAGGATGTGACACAGCCAACTACCTGGGATGTCTGATAAGCAAGTCGGAGCAGAAGCATGTGCTAAGCAGTCCAGAAGTGTGATGAGGTGCTAGGAACCTAGGAGGCAGCCAGGCTGGCTAGGATAGCTCTGTCTGCATGGCATGAGCCATGTTCCTGACTTGGGCAGGGGTAACTGGGGAGATGTCCTGAGCATGGGTTGCCTTGGGCCCTTTATTTCCCTTGGGGAACATAGCCTATGGCCTTTGTTCTTGGTGACCAGACATATCCTTCTTTAGGATTCCACCTGTAGCACCTGAATATTCAAAATTTGTTGGTGGTGTTATCCTCATGTGTTGAACTTATTTTATGATAGTTAAAATTCTTAATTGGACTTAATTTCATATGGACGATAAGCAACTTGTTTTGAGAAGAAAGACAACCCTTTAAAATATAAATTTTGGTTTCAATAAAAATTAAGTCTTACGAATGAAAACTCAGGATATAAAAAGCAATCAGACCCTTGTAGTATTTCTTACATTGCCTTGTGAGTAAAATCACCACATTTCATTAACTGTTTATTGAATAGAGTGCTGGCATCCCTCTCTGTTCTGAATGTGTGTGACTATGCTGAGAGGCATTGTGTTGTCACTCTGAAATGCTGTGGTACCCTTACCTCAGGAGGCCCTGAGCAGCAAGTTAAAATGGGAATAATGACTTATTCTGGACTTTGACACTTTATATTGTTGCTTGTAATTAAATAGTGGGGAACGTCTGCATTCATGTTTGAACAGTTTTGGAAGCAGAACTTGAAATGCTTAGGTAATTCCCAGCTGACCATTGGATTTATTATCAGTATTGAAATTTAGTAATATTCTTGGAAATACTCGTGTTTATCTGCATTTTAAAGACAATATAATCTTAGTGAACTTGAACTCGTTTCTGGGGAACCTCTTTCTATTTCATATTTCTTTCTTGTTCTTGTTTGTGGTATTGTTAGGTCCAATTTCCCTGTATCATATCTCATGTCAGATCTTGCTCACCTGCACTGGTTGTGGATGTGCAATGCTCATGGGTTCACTCATGCATATGTTCGTGATGGCCGGCATTAGTGCCTTTAACTTAGAATTTGAGTCTGTGTGAATTTGCTCTGAGATAGTTGCATTTCCTCCTGTATGCATAAGGAAATACTCTAAGTGCACAGTCATCCTGTTTTCCCGTGTAGCCACAGATACCCTCATGATAGTACAGAATAGGGAAAATGGCATTGCGTGTCCTTTTGTTTATTTTCCCCTCCAGTTTTCAGACTTTCTAGGTAAAATATCATACAGTATGAATTGATAAAGCTTCTGTTGGAAGAATGCCTGTGGTTTTTTGTTTTGTTTTTAATTTAGTTGGTTGGTTTTGACTTCTTGAGACATAGCCATCCTCAGCCTTTGACCTCCTGAGTGCTGTGATTATAGGTACACGCCACCACACTAGGCGAGTTCTCCTGTCTGTGAGTTCTCATGTGTTGAAGCTTTTCTTCTTTTGATTCCCTAAGTGACTCTGTGTGATTCTCCCTGTCCTCTCCCACTCACACTATGAAACAGTAGTCTTGTTTTCGAAGGTCTTTTCTATGTTTTTGAGGTGACGTAGCACTAATGATGAACGTCTAATGGTGAAGACACACAGGCTGCCATACTGCCTGCGGTGTAAAGATTTAGTTGATCAGTTAGTTTATTATTTATTTATTTATTTTCTTAAGCATTACTTTGTGGGTATTCCCCTTTGAAGGGCAGAGAATATTTTTAGAAGTAAAAACCATTGAAGAATCTTGCTTGTAGGTGTATAAATTGGATAGTGTTGCTTTAAGATGTATTGTTTCTTAAAAAATCAATAACCACAGTAGAAATAGAAAACTTTCCATGTGTACAGTTCATCTCAGAGAAACAGCAGATCGCTAGTTTGGCTGGCAGAGGCAGAGCCCGGTGTCCACTTAGAGTTTTAGGAAAGAGTGATAGACTGTGGGAGGTGGGCTGACAAATGAGCTTAAACCCGAAGATGATGTCTATCTGTTTCTATAATAAAAGTCTCGGGCAGAAGCAACATAAGGGAAAACGTGTTTCAGTCACTGACCAAGGATGTCCACCATGGCAGGCAGGTCAGGTGGCAGGACCTTGAAGTAGCTAGTCACATGACATCCACTGCCAGGAGCAGAGAACAGAGAGCGCAAGCTGCTGCCTAGTTCCTTTGTCTGTTTCTACAGTCCAGCATCCAGCCAGGACCAGGAGCCACCAGTGAAGGCAGTCAGGCTAGTCTGCAGGTGTACCAAGACTCATCTCCCATGTAAGTCTAGTTGTGTTAAGCTGGCAGTTAACACTAACTGCCACACCACATAATGCAATGTGGATGCCCAACAAACCTGTGCTTAAAGATGAGAGAATAAAACTCTGAATGTGAAAAGTTCCTGAGAATATATTCTATCAGTTCCTGTCCCCAAATTTATGTCCGTTATTTTAAAATAAGTGTAATATTTAACACTTAACTGTTTTTAACAATCTTGTTTTCATCTCTTCAGAGGAACAGGGTGAATCTGGTTTCAGCTGTGCAGCAGTTCAGTGAACGTGTGAAGTAAAGACATTCGTGAGCCACAGAAAGCACCAGGGTCGCTGGTTTAGTACATAGTCTACACCTGCCTGCTGCTTTCCCCAAGTCAGTAATACTAGGAGCCAGGAGGAAAGGTCTGTCTGTGTGTGTGTTGGTATGGTAAGCGTGCACACCAGGCTGCAGTGTACACACACATGCCTTTGTGTACATGCCCTGTAGCTGGGCAGCGTGGAAACTCACCGTTCTGAGAGGACAGGCCAACTGCTCAGGTGCTTGTGTAAACTGAGACTTACTACTGGAGAAGGTGGAACGAAGCTTTTGTTTTTAATTCCACATAGAATGACCTGAAGTTTGTACCATTCATTGGATTGACTGTCATATGTAGGTCACTTATCAGATGTCTGTTTTAGGTCTCAACTACTGTATAGGTCCACATTGTGAATACTCATAAGAGCATGTTGGAACAGTAATTGAGGAGGAAATTGACTCAAGTTTTTATCTCAGTTAATTTCTTGATATCTTGGGTTTTAGTTTTGCATCACGAATTAAATTGTCAAAACATAAGTTAGTACAAGAAAAGGGCATTGAGTTTAAAATATCCAGTCTTTATCATCATTTTCCTAGTAACCACAGGTACTTGAATATTAATGTTGACCCTCAAAATACATTTTTGTGGTTAATTAAAATTAAAATTAATTTAGTTTTAATTTATCTATTGAGAATCACCTTGATCTGCATTCACATAAATGATGCTAAAACTATGTTAGTCCTACGAGACCACAGCAGCCATTTGATGGGGTGACTTCAGAGTAGCCTAGGTGAATATAGGTAATGAACTCCCCTTCTTTTCTGTTCTTTCTATGGAAGGCCTATGCCTTTGTTACCTGCATTTTAGTAGCTTGGGGAGGGTTTTAGATTCTGCCGTGGAGAAGGTGCTTTCCTTCCCTGGATCATCCTCATGGGAGATTGCACCCCACAGTAAGGAGATTGGCCTTACTGTGCTCTTGCGTTAGTGGAGCTTGCTCCTTGCTCACTGGGACCTGGCAGTGTTGGTCAGATGCCCACTGCCCTGAAAACCTAACCTTGCCATATGGGTGGTTTAGGGGCTTGCTTCCTACTGTGAACTCATCTCAGATGCCTGACTGGTGGGTGAGGGTCTCCTGTCGCCTGTAGTGTCTCTTGTCTTCAAGGCCAGAGGCTGAGCCTACTCTGGGTCTTTGCTTCTGATCCCTTTAACATACACAAATGCCAAGGATTATGGAAAGAACTAAAAATAAACTTAGAAAATAAAACTTAGAAGCCTGTTCTGTTGCTGTGGTTAGGTGTCTGCTTTTAAGGACTATGACAGACTGAGACCCGCGTGTTAACTTCCTAGCATCCTGTTGTAGGCCTGTGTTGTACTAAGGCCAACTCTGACATCTTGCTGCCTCTGTGGGTAGAGGGGTTAAGATTTTATGTGTTGCTGGGCAGTGCTGACAGCACGGTCTGGGTTGAAGGACAGTTCCACTACCTACTCTAAGCAAGATGAGCTTAGCTTAATTAAGTAAGCTATTGACCCTCCCTAAAATTGTTCTTTGTCTTGATTGCACAGTCTTTCTCAGGTCGTGGTGTGGACTCCCGAGTTGCTAGCATGCTACAGATTGGGAGAAAGATGCCCTCTGCCTGCAAAACAGGCTCCCAATAATAATCCTTGTCAGGAGTTTGCTGAGGAAAGACCTGCTGTGTACAGAACAGCTTTCATCTGTGCTGCCCATTCCAGTTGCTGGAAATGCACCTGGAAGGTGAATAGCAAGACCTTCTTGTGTGGGACTCTCTCTCACAGGAAAAAGGCAGTGGAAACAGGGAATGGCCCCGGTGGAGATCAAGCCCCGGTGGAGTGTAGCTGAGAAACAAATAGCTTTTGTGGTTTTCATAAGGCACGAGCAGTGCTATTTGCTAACAGGTAACAAGACAAACAACAAGAATGACAAAACCCATTCTCTCCTGAATAAGAGAGAGCTGTAACTCGTTGTTGAGCACTGCCTCTCTCAAGTTGGAACCTGAGGAAGGAAGATGGAGCCAGGATCTTAGCTTATAACATGTACTGCCCTAAAACAGCCTCACCCCCTGGGCTAGGCCAAGGCTTAGCTCACGGCCTCCTGTTGGGATGCATTCAGAGACCCTCTATCCCTCACCTTGTTCCCAGTTCAGGGCCTCTCATCAACAGCTGCTAGACAGGCAGGGATATCATGAGAATGAAAGAGGTGCAAACTTACCCTGTGGTGCCATTCTTCCCCAAGGAAACCAACTGTTACTTGGGCCAGTGCACCTCTGAATTGCCTTTAGGATAGCCAGGTGACTAAGCTCACCTTGATGTTAGTCAGATATTGAGATACATATGTCCCACGTACCTTGGTGGAAACAAAGAACTTGACCTCTTAAAATTTCAAAACTGCAATGGGCACGATGATATGTGTCTGTAATCAGCATTTAGAAAGCGGAGGGAGGAGGGTTATGAGTCTCAGGCCATTTTTGGTTAGTTAGTGAGACTGTATTTCAAAAGGCAAAACAATAAAGCAAGGAAAACTCTCAACATAAGCAGAATAGAAGATATAATCAAAAGAACAGGAAGAAAGAAAATCTCTAGTCTTAAAGCAGTAGGATGTTTATAACCATAGGGGTTATGGGTACGTGATCTTAATAAAACAATAGAACACGAGGAATTTGAAAAACTCATCTTTTGGGTTCTGATGTCACATTTTGAAAAGTAGGGCTTTTCCTGAAAAGTCTGCAGACAAGGTTACAGATGGCAGGAGTTAGAGATTCTAGTCTCAGACCTGGCTAACATTGGGATTTTTGTAGTGTGTGTAGAGCACAGAAGTTGGGGAAGGTTCAAAGACTATGTCTGAAGTGGTGTGAAGTAAAAACCATCATAATGCAAAAAAAAACAATCTGAAAGAAATAAATAATTTAGCTATGACAAGAAATTAGGGGGGAAAACCTCTTGCTTAGCTTTTAACTACTGAGGTAAAGGGCTAAACTTAAAGTATGAATCTGGGAAATGGGGACATCGTAGTGAAGGCTAGGCAGTGAAGCTACTGGTGGTAAATGGACGGATGTTAGGATAAGAGAACCAAGACTGAAACCAACCTCACTTTACCCCATCACTTCTCACAGGCAAAACTGGAGTATGAAACTACTCTTAATGTTATGGGTAAAAATCCCCCCAAACCTCAAACCAAAAGTGCATGGATGCTAATAACAAAAGCATAAGCAGGACTGTTTAAAGGGCTTTTATATTGACTTCCTTAGGGCAAGATTCACCTAGGAAGTGGAAGCGACAGGTGCTACACTGGTGGAAGGGTGA